TACTAGGAAAAGGATTACCACAAATTTAACCCCGTATTCAAACCAGGAATCAAATAATTTAATCTACACAATCATTATATTTGCATATCAATACACAAGCTATTTAATTAATTACTTGAGCAAGTAGATAAGTTGAAGTTTCTAATTCTATGCTAAAATCTCATAGCTCTAATATCCCTTGCTTAAATCTTTCTTTTTTTGGGTGACAACCCTTACTTAAATCTTTTAGCACAAAATTATAATATACTAACAATCCATTTTTTTATTTAAATCTTCCAAAATATTTACTTTAATAAAAATTTCTCAAAATTTTAAAATATAAAATTATGATATTTAAAATTTACAAATCGAATCTCAAGTTTAAATATCTAAAATAAACCATTAGAAATTCAATATACATCAAATACACTTAAGTAAATATTTTAATCAAAAGTTCCATAGTAAAAATATCATATTTTTCACCAAAAAAACTGTTTAACTAAAATAATTAATTTAAAAATATTAGGCACCCAGTAAATAAACCTAAACCGATAGAAATAATCTATTAAAATAGCTTTACAACACCATGCCCATCTATTCTCAAAACTCAACACTTGCTCTAAATCTTAAATCCAAAAATTTTCTCTAACAGCAAAAATTACTATTATTAGATAGATCTAAATGAGTAGAATAACTTTCATGGATAAGGTTTAATTAAATGGAGTGGTTTGGAGTATCTAAATGATCTGCAAAGAAACTCCAAGCTTCAAGAATGGTGATCCTGTGCGAGGAAAGGAAGGAAGAAGATGTTGAGTTTTCTGAAAATTCTCTCTCCCGTTATGATAAAAAAAAAACTTAGGGGTATATTGAACTTTAAGAGCCATGTTAAAATAGGAAGAATGATAGTTCAAAACCCCATCTTTTTCATTTTCCTTGTATTCTCTCTTGAATTTTATTCTCATAATCCATTTTGTCATTTCAGTAATTTGCATGCCCATTTTGTCATTTCAGAATTCATTAGTCATTTTCTTGTCATTTTCCCAAAAAAAATCCTTTTTTAAAATTAAAGTAGCACACTTTGATTTATACTACCTCCGGCCCCAAATATAAAAGCTAGTTGACTAATTTAAAGAGATTAAGGAAATAAGTTAAGTTAGTTATTTGTAATAAATAGGTGTTGCCTTTCTTAAAGTGTCCTTGCTAATGAAGTGTATTGGCTATAACTACCATTATAAGAAGGACTAATTGGGAAAAAAGGTACAAATATGAGGGAAAAAGTGGATTGGGGTCTTATATTTAGGACCAAAATAAAAATTAAACAAGATCTTATATTAAAGATAGAAGCTAGTATAATTCAATTTAAATGCACCTGTACACAAACAAGCAAAATTTTGTCCCTAAATTTCCCCATTAATCTATGAATTAGAAAATTGGAAATTAGTCAAACTTGGAATAAAAATAAACCTAGCATGAGCAGACGGAGTAGCGGTGCAGGGGTAGCTTGTTAAACTCCTTTCCCCTTGTACCCACCCTTTGCATCCTCACTGACCGTATTCATCCCCGCTCCTGATGTTGAAAGCAATTCAATTTAATTTCCATGATGTTGTAAGCAATGCGAGTGACTTCAGGCCTGATAGTAGTATTGTGGAGAGTGAGACAACTGATAGTCAGAGAATTGAGGATCCTGAGAACTTGAGAAGGAAGAGAAACAGTTGACTGTCATTCTCAAAGGTAAATTAGAAGCCTTTTCTGCCCATAATAACAAGATTCGTATTGGCAGTAATGCTCAACCAGGAATGCGGTTTGTTATTTTTTATTAGCTATTTTAGTAGGTGATGATTCGTGTGTTGGTGATCGCATGCATACATTTCGTTTTCAAATGTCAATATATCATTCTTGAAGCAAAATATGACTAAGCAATGAGACGATAAGTATAATTATTTTGCATAATCAATCCTCATTTGGTGAATTCTAATATTGTTGTGTTTTCTTCTGGAACCTTATTTTGTAATTTTAGGCGTGAGCACTGAGTGGCTCAAGAGTGTGAACTCTTGACGAGATTGTAACCTTATTAGTAGTAAGGGGGAGTGATTGAGAGTGACTCAATTGCTATACTAAGGTACCAAGAGCCTATTAAATCTTGGGGTATAGTGGAAAACTCAGAGGCACTCTGAGGACTGGATGTAGGTCAAGTGGTTGAGACTAAACCAGTATAATCTCCTATGTCAATGCTCATGTGTTCATCCTTGGCAAAATATTTCTAAACCCGTCTCCATTGCTTTAATTGGTTATTTATTTTATTGAGTCAATTTTTTATATATCATCCAATTCAACCCCTCTTGGGTGAAGCTGCAACTAAGAATCACTAGGTCAGTCATCCGTTGTAAGAAAGCTTCATTGTTTTGTTGAGGTTAGTTAGCTGGATTTGAAGGTTAGTTACCTCCAGGGTCAATTTGTAGTGGTTGCGTGCGTACCATCTCCTCCCCACCCGGGGATGTAACCCGACATAGGAAGTGAGTATTAAAACACAACAAACAAGATAAGATAAGAAAGGATATGTGTGAATATTGTATATTGCCATTGTATGCATCAAAGTTGCACGGTGAAAGCATGGTGGGTCCATAACGACAAGTCCCAAGATCGAAACCTCGCTCTAATACCAAATATGTAACAACAAAACTTCTAATTATTTGAATTTATCAATATTGAAAAGTCAACCATGGTAGAATAGGAACTGTGACAAAACATTTTGAAATGCTACCATGGTTATATAAGCAACCTAAATCACAAAAAAAGTTAACCTTGATACAAAAAAGGAGTTAAACCGATCAATAAATATGTCTATTATAGTTAAAAGATCTTTTTTAAATTAACTGCATGTACACCAAGATTCATAATAAATAAGGCTTTATGAAACCCAGAATGTCATATTCAATCATAAGCCTATAACACAATATTACTGAATAATGCCTTTCATAACTTTCTAAAGCTAAAAGTCATCTATTATTAATGATCAGTGTGGTTCCACGATTCACAACAAAAACCACATGTAAACACCTTGAAGCCTCCGCTCTTCTACCAACATGCAACTTAGTAACAGTTAATCAAAACTACAAAGTCAATACAATCAGTCTCATAACAAATCAGAGTATGTGCAATATGCCTTAGTATGGCAATATACATCTATCCAAGATAATTAAAATAGTAAAACCACTACAATCTTACAGTAGTAGCTTAAACTTCCAGAGCCTTCCCTGACACACCCAAACGGTAATTATTACCTGAAAAAGTGTTAAATCAACAGGGTGAGACAAAAGACTCAATAACCAACAATCCTACTTATTAAGTATACAAATAAGTACTCATAAAGTGTCAAGTGAGACAATCACAAATTCATAGTTTTCAAACAGATTTCATATTGTCGAAACATTTAACAAAGTATAATAGATAATCTTCTCATCTCCCTTATATCTACCTACCTTATATTATCTAACTAAACCCATTGGTTAAATTTTTATCCATGTGATTGGTAATCAAATAAGCTCACATATCAAGAGATATGGAGCAGCCAAAATCCACAGAGCAGAATACAGAACTATGGGTTCCCCCTCTAGTTCACTAACGATGTGTCAATGCCCTCTATTGAGTAATTGGGCTAAAGGACCAACCCATGTATAGCTGATAGCCCTACCAACTTATATCATCTAGTGTACATGATTCACCCCCTTATATCCTCTCTGGTATAGTTCCCATTCTTAACATCTAAGTATTGCAATTGGTTTTGATTAGGATTTTCTCAACCAAAAAAAAATCCTTTATTAAAATTAAAGTAGCACATTTTGTTTTATACTACCTTCGATCCCCAATATAAGAGCTAGTTGACTAATTTGAGGAGATTAAGGAAATAAGTTAAGTTAGTTATTTGTAATAAATATGTGTTGTCTTTCTTAAAATGTCCTTGCTAATCAAGTGTATTGGCTACAACTACCATTATAAGGACTACTTAGGAAAAAAGGTACAAATATGAGAGAAAAAGTGGATTGGGGTCTTATATTTAGGACCAAAATAAAAATTAAACAAGATCTCATATTAAAGATAGGAGCTAGTATAATTCAATTTAAACGCACCTATACACAAACAAGCAAAATTTTGTCCCTAAATTTCTCCATTAATCTATGAACCAGAGAATTGGAAATTAGTCAAACTTGGAATAAAAATAAACCTAGCATGAGCAGACGGAGTAGCGGTGCAGGGGTAGCTTGTTAAACTCCTTTCCCGCTGTACCCACCCTTTGTATCCTCACTGACTGTATTCATCCTCGCTCCTTCGTTGTTGTCTTCAGACTCTTCCTTTCTCTGGTCATTGTCGTCGGCAGCTACTATCTAGCAGTTTTAATGGTTGTTTCAGCTTTTACGTAATCAAAGTTATGACACCTTCAATCATTCAAATTTCTGGAGATCGTTCTGTGTTTTTGGAAAAGTTCGATTTTATGCTTGGTTTTTAACCATGCTATCCCACATAATACCCAAACCCCCTATTTTCGATGCTTTGTGTTGATTACTTCAAAGTCTATCTCACATGCTGAACCATATTTCACCTATTCTACTACTACTCCAACTTTTCTTATTTTCCCCCAATGCTTCTCTACCAATTGGAACAATAACAACAATGGCATGGATCAACCTTCTACCGGTGTCAGCAAAGATTTCCGAAAGAATGAGGATAAGTTTGACGTTATGTTCACCGAAGATAGCAGAAGATTTGATGAATTTAATGAGGGAGATGACGACGCCAAGGCCCCAGCCAACAAGGACCAATGGTGGTTAGAAGAGAAGGGTCTTGATAATAAAGACAAGGATGCTATATATAAAGGGCTTCACAAGAAAACTGATGAGAAGGGTGGTGATTTTGGCAACCAGGTATGGCATGGAGAAGAGCTCCTGAAACCATGGACCCTACGAGAGGAAGGGGAAGATGTGTTTAATTTCCATGATGTTGTAAGCAATCCGAGTGACTTCAGGCCTGAGAGTAGTATTGTGGAGAGTGAGACAACTGATAGTCAGAGAATTGAGGATCCTAAGAAACTTGAGAAGGAAGAGAAACAGTTGACTGTCGTTCTCAAAGGTAAATTAAAAGCCTTTTCTATGCATAATAGTAAGATTCGTATTGGCAGTAATGCTCAACCCAAAATGCGGTTTGTTATTTTTTTATCAGCTATTTTAGTAGGTGATGATTCGTGTGTTGGTGATCGCATGCATACATTTCGTTTTCAAATGTCAATATATCGTTCTTGAAGCAAAATATGACTAAGCAATGAGACGATAAGTATAATTAGTTTGCATAATCAATCCTCATTTGGTGAATTCTAATATTGTTGTGTTTTCTTCTGGAACCTTATTTTGTAATTTTAGGCATGAGCACAGAGTGGCTTAAAAGTCTGGACTCTTGAGGAGATTGTAACCTTACTAGTAGTAAGGGGGAGTAATTGAGAGTGACTCAATTGCTATACTAAGGTCCCAAGAGCCTATTAAATCTTGGGGTATAGTGGAAAACTCGAGGCACTCTGAGGACTGGATGTAGGTCAAGTGGTTGAGACTAAACCAGTATAATCTCCTGTGTCATTGCTCATTTGTTCATCCTTAGTGAAATCTTTCTAAACCCGTCTCCATTGCTTTAATTGGTTATTTATTTTATTGAGTCAATTGTTAGGATTATAGTTTTGATGATAACAAAGTCAGATAATTTGGGTTAAGTATTTTGATCGATCAACTGATCGATCAATCGTTTATCGCTAAGGTTTCAGATAATTGTTCAAGTGTAAATCAGGTTTATAGTAGGTATTTGGATCGAAGAACTATTCGATAAGTAATTATTCGATAAAGTGATCGATTATCGCTAACGTGGAAATCACACAAGAGTATAGTTAATTATCGATCAACTGATCGATAATATCAGATAAACAATCGAGTTACTGATAAGAGAACCAAATCTGAAGTGTATTTATCGATCACGTGATCGATAAATCAGTTATCAATAACGACTTCGATAAAAGGTAACACAATCTACTTGTTCTGCACATTAATTCTGTTACCAATTTATCGATCATATTCTCGATCATTTGTTTATCGATCACGTGTTCGAACATTATGCTCTAACTCTCTGAATGCAGGTAATCAACTTCACTGATGGATCGATAACCTTACTGATCATAAAATTATCGATCACATGATCGATAATCAATATCTTTATCTACTCTTATTTAGTTTTCCTACAACCAAATTATCGATAACATTATCGATAATTTAACTTGTTTGCATAAATAACTTTTTCACATAACATGATCGATAAAGAGTCTAAGGATTGCTATATTCACATTAACTTATGTTGAACTATTATTCGATCACCTAATCGATCACTGGTTTTTTGATAATATGATCGATCATTCAATTCCTTGAAACTCATGTTTTCACAAAACGTGATCGATAATCAGTTTCTTTGTCTTACAGGATTAAATTTCTCTTCTCACTTTATTCGATCATTTGTTCGAATATTCATTGATCGATCAACTGTTCGATCACTTCAGATAGTCTGTGTCTTTCATTGAATATATTCATACCCATGGGTTATCGATAACATTATCCATCATACATTTATCGATAAGTTGTTCGATCATCAATGACTAAGTTTCATTTCAATAACATTTGAATTATCGATAATCTGTTCGATCAAACAAGTGTTCGATCACTTGTTCGATCATGGATTGATTTCCTTTTACTATGATAATTCTTAAAGTCAATGATCCAACACTTGATCGATAATATTGGTGAATTAATTCGAAAAGTCTTCATTCTGTTTATCGATAACCTGATCTATCATCAAGTAATTGATCATCTCTTCGATCAAACTAAACCAGAATGACTTTCTGCTCTTCTTACAGATAAATGATTTCGTCACAAATCTTTGAATGATAAATTTGTTTTCTCTTCTTCATTCATGATTAAAGTATTCACCGCAAGACTCTCATTTGCTTAAAGCTTAAAATATGCAGATTAATGAAAACGAGTGCAACGGCTCTTCAACGGGATTACGTAGACTGCGACCTACAGTGTCAGAAGCTCAGACGCATTAATGGCGGAGCCGTTGAAACCAGCGAAACACGCAAACGGAGTCACAACGGCTAGAAGCTCTTCCGTCTAACGGCTACTTAACGATATCAACTATAAAAGGCGCGAAGAAGCATTAATGAGGAGATTGAATACCGAAACTACCACCTGCGATTATTTAGTCTAGCATTCAATACTCTGTTTTTCACGTTACTACCGAGCATCAGTGTTTATCATTAAATTCACTCTGTAAGAGAGCCAATTACTACTCTTATTAAAAACTTGAGTGATACTCAAGAGTGTGGACTCTTGAGAGGGCTTGTATCCTTACGGGAGTAAGGGGGAGTGATTGAGCGATTCAATTACTGTACCGAGGCACCAAGAGCCCTGTCGATCTTGGAAGATAGTGAAATACTCAGAGGTGTTCTGGGGACTGGAAGTAGGTCACGTGGTGTAGACCGAACCAGTATAAATCTTGTGTCTCCTCTCTGCGGTTAAATTTCTCCTTACTCTGACTCTCTGTTTTTATTCAATACTGTCACGCATTTGATTGAAAATTTTTATAACTCACCCAATTCACCCCCCTCTTGGGTGAGATTGTTTCTAACATCAATTTTTTATATATCATCCAATTCACCCCCTCTTAGGTGAAGCTGTGACTAACAATCACTAGATCAATCATCCATTGTAAGAAAGCTTCATTGTTTTGTTGAGGTTAGTTAGGTGGATTTGAAGGTTAGTTACCTCCAGGGCCAATTTGTCATGGTTGCGTGCATACCATCTCCTCCCTACCCAGGGATGTAACCCGACATAGAAAGTGAGTATTAAAACACAACAAACAAGACAAGATAAGAAAGGATATGTGTGAATATTGTATATTGCCATTATATGCATCAGAGTTGCACAATGGAAGCATGGTGGGTCCGTAACCACAAGTCCTAACATTGAAACCTCGCTCTAATGCCAAATATGTAACAACAAAACTTCTAATTATTTGAATTTATCAATATTGAAAAGTCAACCATGGCAGAATAGGAACTCTGTAAAACATTTAGAAATGCAACCATGGTTATATAAGCAACTTAAATCACAAGAGAAGTTAACCATGATAAGAAAAAGGAGTTAAACCGATCAATAAATATGTCTATTATGGTTAAAAGGTCTTTTCTAAATTAATTGCATGTACACCAAAAATCCATAATAAATAGGGCTTTATGAAACCCAAAATGTCATATTGAATCATAAGCCCATAACATAACATCACTGAATAATGCCTTTCATAACTTTCTAAAACTAAAAGTCATCTAGTATTAAAAATCATTGTGGGTCCACCATTCACAACAAAAACCACATGTAAACACCTTGAAGCCTCCGGTCTTCTACTAACATGCAATTTAGTAATAGTTAATCAAAACTACAAAGTCAATACAATCAGTCTCATAACAAATCAGAGTATGTGGAATGTGCCCTAGTATGGCAATATACATCTATCCAAGACAATTAAAAGAGTGAAAACACTACAATTTTACAGCAGTAGCTCAAACTTCTGGAGCCTTCCCTGAGAGACTTGAAAGGTAATTATCACTTGGAAAAGTGTTAAATCAACAGGATGAGACAAAAGCCTCAATAACCAACAATCCTACTTATTAAGTATACAAATAAGTGCTCATAAGGTGTCAAGTGAGATAATCACAAATTCATAGTATTCAAGCAGATTTCATATTGTCGAAACATTTAACAAAGTGTAATAGATAATCTTCTCACCTCCCTTATATCGACCAACCTTATATTATCTAACTAAACCCATTGGTTAAATTTTTATCCATGTGACTGGTAATCAAATAAGCTCACATATCAAGAGATATGGAGCGGCCAAAATCCACAGAGCAGAATACAAAACTATGGGTTCCCCCTCTAGTTCACTAACGATGTGTCAATGCCCTCTATTGAGTAATTGGGCTAAAGGACCAACCCATGTATAGCTGATAGCCCTACCAACTTATATCATCTAGTGTACATGATGCACCCCCTTATATCCTCTGTGGTATAATTCCCATTATTAACATCTGCCACCCCTCTCATATCGATACTCAAAAGATTATATTCATAATAAATCATCAACATGCTAAAATCAGTTTGAATTTCCAATTCCCAACAACCCATAAACACATGAGATCATCACAGTCATATATATAATTGTTTTTAATAAAAAAAGTCCCACAAGACAATTTCAATAACAACATAGTTTCATAGCTAATGTCATAATTTAGTTACTTCATAAATCCCATATAATTTAAAATCAATCATAAACAACATATAAGCATGTATAATAAGTGAAAAGAAGTTACGTCTTGCCTACTAGGAAAATGATTACTACAAGGTTAATCCTGTATTCAAATCAACAATTCAATAATTTAATCTACACAATCATTATATTTGCATATCAATACACAAGCTATTTAATTAATTACTTGAGCAAGTATATAAGTTAAAGTTTCTAATTCTATGCTAAAATCTCATAGCTCTCATATCCCTTACTTAAATTTTTTTTTTGTTTTGGTGACAACCCTTACTTAAATCTTTTAGCACAAAATTATAATATATTAACAATCCACTTTTTTATTTAAATCTTCCAAAATATTTACTTTAATAAAAATTTCTGAAAATTTTAAAATATAAAATTATCATATTTAAAATTTACAAATCCAATCTCAAGTTTAAATATCTAAAATAAACCATTAGAGATCCAATATACATCAAATACACGTAACTAAATAATTTAATCAAAAGTTCGATAATGAAAATATCAAATTTTTCACCAAACAAATCTGTTTAACTAAAATAATTAATTTAAAAATATTAGCCAACCCAGTAAATAACACTAAACCGATAGAAATAATCTATTCTGCCGCCACCCGAATCATATTTCACCTATTCTGCCACCATGCTGAATTTTCTTATTTTCTCCCAATACTTCTCCACCAATGGGAGTAATAACAACAATGGCAGGGATCAACCTTCTACCGGTGTTTGCAATGATTTCCAGGAGAGTGAAGATAAGTTTGACACTATGTTTGCTGGAGGATTTGATGGATTTAATGAGGGAGATGATGGCGCCAAGGCCCCAGCCAACAAGGACCAATGGTGATTAGAAGAGAAAGGTCTTGATAATGAAGACGAGGATGCTATATTTAAAGGGCTTCACAAGAAAACTGATGAGAAGGGTGGTGATTTTAGCAACCAGCTATGGCATGGAGAAGAGCTCCTGAAACCATATACCTTACGGGAGGAACGAAAAGATGTGTTTAATATCTAAGATGTTGTATACTGCAAACTCGGGTCGTTTCACTTTTGGAAGCCTTTATTAATTACCTAAGCTAGACTAAATGCCATGCAATGTAATTTAAGATTTAAATGAATGGTGACTAAACTAAATGCAATGAAAACAAACCTAAGCTACTATATTTTTTTGTATTTTTGGATAATGATAATGGAATGGAAATGAATGATAGGAAATCTCCTGAGAATGGTTTTGATGGCAATCGTAGTCCACTCAAGATATTGGGAGTTTCACAAATCCATTAGGTTTTCTTAATAACAACCTCAATAACTCATTGAGTCCAATGTTTAAATCATAGCTCATTAAAACTCTAACTCATGCACCATATCCCAAAGAGTCAATTGTTTCTAAAATTGATCATGTTATTTAGCTTCTTTCAAACAATATCCCACTAGACAATTTATGCAAATCAAAACTTTATATAAAAGAATTCATTTATAAAAATCACTCAATAGCACATACTAGAGCATGCAAAAGATAAAATTTTAGTTACATAGTCTCCTAACTAACAGTCAAACACAAGTAAGGCCAAAAATCAAAAACACCAAAGTATGATTTATAACTACTAACAAAATTAAAAATTTATCTTTGTAGTATTAAGGTAAGATACTCATCAAGTTTTAACCCCTAACTCCTCCTCTAAGACCTCAACTATTACTTAGAATTCTATTTTGAAAGGCTTTTTCTAAAGGTCGGAGTAAGAACATATATATGATAATGTAGATTCAATTCCTAGGATCCCTTAACTTAGATTATCTTTGAGTTATTAGATTAAATCATTAGAATCATCAATTCATAACCTAGATAGAAGACCCCTAATTTAAAACCTAGGTTCTATCTTCGAAGATCTTAGAAAAACATCTTTAATATGAGTGACATTATTCTCACTACAATGTCTAATTATTGATCTAACCATTAAAATTAGTGACTTATATGTTTAAAGTCTACCCTCAAATTTTTAGCTTAATCCAACAGTGAATGAATTAAAAAATAATAATTAGTTACTAAGGGTTCTATCTATGCAATCTAGAAAAACGATTTCAAAGCGTATCTAATAAATCGCGCCTCATAGATTGATCTAATTGTTGAAACCAATGAGTTGGATGTCCTGGACTGGCTTGCCAAATTTCAACCTGATCTAACTATTCACGAACTTGTAAACAATACTTTACCAAGATTATCTGATTGAACCCTATTGTTCTATGTTATTTCATATCATTTTAAGGGTATTTATCATAGATTTTGGCTCTTTTTAATGATAATTATGCTTAATTTTGATTAAATGGACTTTATTAATGAAAACATTATTAAGCTCCCCTAATGTGTAATTTGAGAATGATCATGCAATTGGTTCGTTTCAACCCAAAATCAACTCAATATCAAAACATGACCATGTAAGATAAGAGAGAATCAAGAGAGTTACAAGGAAACATATATGTAACTACATATATTGAAGCACAGAATTCAACATTAACCAATCCAAAATACAAATGTAAATCATTAACCAATGATTACAGTAACAATCCCAAGTTCTTAACTAACAATTTACCACTCCTAGACCTAGAAAGCCATAAATTATAGCTAAAAATTGAAAACTGAAACTAAACTCCCCTTTGAAGTTTGGAAACTCATGCCACACCACCATTCTTCAAGAGTTGATAAACCCTAGCCCTCCATAGCTTCAAGAAAAGCTCCAACTGAAGTGAATTCGTCAGCCATGGTAGCTGAGAGTGGAAGGAAATGAGATGGAATGAAGAAAAGGTGAAGGAAATGGATGGAGAAGAAGATGGAGTTGGAGAGGCAAGAGGATGAGAGAATAGAGGTGTTCTTGATAATAGAATGGAGTGATTGGTCAAAAATAGGGTTTCTAATGGTTTTAGGGGTCCATCTGGGTCAAATCATATAAGTAAAGGGTCCATTTTTGCATTCTGGATCCGAATATGATGTCACTGATACGAGAGAGATTGCCACGACGAACTCAAAAGTTGGCTGCGGCGAACTATTCTAGAGAAGAATTTTAGTGAAATGTTGAGAGTTTGCCACGGCGAACTCAAAAGTTTACCCCGGCGAACTATTCCAGAGTAGTCACTGATGCAACATTTTTAGACTTTTTGCCATATCACAGCATTTTCTTGGAAACTCTCATGTTGTGTAATGCTTTGGTCTTCAATCTTGGCTTTAATTCTCAAGTGTCCTATAATAAAAGCCAACAATTTGAAGCATCAATTGTCCTAGAAATCAATTGAATACAATTAATAACCAATTATGACAATTTTACCCTAACAAAGACATTAACTCAAAGTAAGGACTCTTAATAAAATTTTTATCTTTCCTTCAAATACTTGATTCAAAAACAAAGAGATGACATAGATATTTTTTTTATTTTTATATAGGATATAAAATATGATAATATAATTATAATAATTAATAAAATTGAAAAATATAAAAAAAAAATGCAAGTTAGCTCACAGGTTGGCAAACTAACTCGCGACAGGTTGTGAGTTTGGAGGTGCGAGTTAAAAAGTTTCAATTGCTAGCAAGTTGGCTTTTAGGCAATCTTAACCTGCCATTTTTGTTGGGTTGACGGGTTGGACCCTACCAACTTTAAATAATTATTGTAGTAAATAACTTATGAAATATTGAGATGTAGTATATAGCTAATGAAATGCAAATGAAATATCTACTATATTTCACTAACTATTTATTATACACATTTTGAATATTTCCAACACTATTTTCGCTATTTACTGCATTTCATTAGTGATTTACTGCATTTTATTAGCTAATTTTATAATAAAAAAAATCCTAATTGCCGCTACCTGATTGTCAATATTGCAGCTAACGAGGATATTGAGGTGGCTTTTTTCCTTTTAAGTGAGGAGTATCATAATCAAAACATGAAATTTTCAAAATTACATTTCAATACTTGTGGAATGATTTGGGATTATGCCAACTGAAATCAATTATTTGGATTTTCATATTTTGAGGGTACTTATTTATAATTTTTACTAATACATTATTTGAAAATATTTTGTTAATATGTAAAATTATAGGGAGAATTCTAAAAAATATATTTGAATTTCAAAATTCTAAATCAATTTTGTTTACTATACTTTAATAATAATTGGTAACATTTAAAAAGTAAATAACAAAACATTTTTGTAATCATTCTTGATTTGGTATTTTAAAATTTTAAAGGTATTTTTGGGTATTTTTCCAAATTATAAGACCAGTGTTTAAAAATTAATGGTGCTAAGATTAGAAACTAGAAAAAAGGTAGAATTCAAATTAAAACAAATTGAAATACTTAAATTTAAGTTTAGGCCTAAATTCTTAGAAAATTTCTAATTAGGTCATGATACCTGATTAGGAATTTGTAAATATTATTAAATAATCAGAATGCCTGCTTTAATTTTAAAAAATAAAACCATTAAAAATATTTTAATAAAATATTTAAATTACAAATATTAGTAACCTTTAAATAATTTTTTTAATTTCAGTTCTCATAATTTGGATTAGTTTTATTTATTTGAGTAATGTTGGATCCAACACAAAATGTAAATTATAACAACTAGCTATCAAATATTTCTTGCAATTAAAATATTTCAAGATCTCAAAATAAATATGTACACCCTAAAAAGAAAAAAGACTACTTATATTATAATTTACAAATGTTTTGTTAAAATACTTTGAAGGTTTTACTTATATATATATAAAATTTCAAACACTAAAAAAGTTATTTATATTTTGATAATATTCTAATCATTTAATAATATTAAGCAATTTTTAATTAGACTTCATGTCCTGATTAACAATGTTGGCCTCAATTTGAATCTAAGTATTTTAATTGGTTTTAATTAGGATTTTCTCGACAACAAGAAAAATCCTTTTTTAAAATTAAAGTAGTTTTATACTATCTCTTGTCCTAAAAATAAGAGTTAATTGACTAATTTGAGGAGATTAAGGAAATAAATTAAGTTAGTTTTTTATAATAAAGAGGAGTTGTCTTTCCTAAAATATCCTTGCTAATCAAGTGTATTGGTTACAACTATTATTATAAGAAGGACTACTTGAGAAAAAATATATAAATATAAGAGATAAAATAGATTGGGGTTTTATATTTAAGATCAAAATAAAAATCAAACGAGATTTTATATTAAAAATAAGAGCCAGTATAATTCAATTTAAACCACCCGTACACAAACATGCAAAATTTTGTCTCTAAATTTCTCCATTAATCTATAAACTAGAGAACTGGAAATTTTAGTCGAACTTGTCGTAAAAATACACCTTGGGAGAGCGCACAGAGCAGCGATACCCCTTTCCCGTTGTACCCACCTTTGCATCCTCACTCACCGTGCTCGTCGTCGCTCCCTCGCCGCCGTCTTCAGACTCTTCCCTTCTCCGGTCGTCGTCGTTGGCAGCAATTATCTAGCGGTTTGATGGCTGTTTCAGCTCTCACGGAATCAATGTTATGATACCTCCAGTCATTCAAATTTCGGAGACCGTTCTGTGTTGCTGGTAAAGTTTGATTTTTTGCCCGGTTTTTAACCATGTTTTCTCGCCTAATACCCAAATCCCCCCATTTCCGACGCTTTGTATTGATTACTTCAAAGTCTATCTCACATCCCCAACCATATTTCATCTATTCTGCCACCACCTCTGCCACCACCTCGAATTTTTTTATTTTCCCTAAGTACTTCTCCACCGATGGGAACAATAACAACAATGGTAGGGATCAATTTTCTAACCACCATTGGTCCTTGTTGGCTGGGGCCTCGAAACCTTGGACCTTACGGGAGGAAGAGAAAGATGTGTTTAATTTTCAAGATATTGTAAACAATGCGAGTGATTTCAGGCCTGATAGTAGTATTGTGGAGAGTGAGACAACTGATAGTCAGAAAATTGAGGATCCTGAAAAACTTGAGAAGGAAGAGAAACAGTTGACTGCGGTTCTCAAAGGTAAATTATAAGTCTTTTCTGCGCATAATAACAAGATTCATATTGACAGTAATGGTCAACCCGAAATGCAGTTTGTCATTTTTTATCAGCTATTTTAGTGGGTGATGATTTGTGTTTTGGTGATCACAAGTATATATTTCGTTTTCAAATGTCAATGTATCATTCTTAAAGCAAAACATTGCTAAGCAATGAGACGATAAGTATAATTATTTTGCATAATCAATCCTCATTTGGTGAATTCTAATATTGTTGCATTTTCTTATGAAACCTTATTTTGTAATTTTAGGTGTGAGCACGGTTTCACTGATGAGTTTTCATATTACAAATAAGTCTTGAACCAATCCTTCTGGATTTTTTAGAGAATTGAAGTAGAATATTGTTTAGACAACCCTTAGCGTTTCCCCTTGCGCGGTTTGAACAAGTCCTATTTTGGGAAGATTCTGCTTTGTTTTATTCATCTGTTTCTATCGTGTTTCTTTTTGTTTTGGGCTTCCACGCTTCTAGCTGTGTTAGTATAGAAGAGTCTAATGAAAGCTGTAAAGATGATAAAATGACAATATCAAAATGTTAAGGACTGAGTATGTCTTTTCAAGTCCCATTGCTTAACATAGGTTTGCTGATAGTTAGTGGTTGAACAGAAAGCTGGCATCTTTATGGTTAATAATTAGATGGAAATCTGTTAATGATGAGTGGAATGAAGAATAAGTTCAGTAGTAAAATGATGCTGCACAAAATTGCTTATGCTATATTTGTGAAACATAAGTAGTCTTGCTACTAGGAGGACTTTTCATGTATGGAAGCTTCACAGTCAGAAAAAGAAAAGGCTTTCCATATGGTGTAACTGCTATCTTCAGGGCCGTATTTATTCTCTTTTTGTTGCTTGGAGAGGAAGGGTACTGATCAAACCAGCCCTATTGATTCCTATAAAAGGAAAATATAGCACAAAATAGGAGGAAATACAGTGATAAATGCGCTAAACATAGTGTATTTAGTGCCTGCAAAGAAAAATCTCCTACTTCGAAATCATCCAACTCTGGATCATAATTACTTTTTGTCTGTTGTTATAGGATATTCTAGTGGTTAACGAGTCGAAACATAACAATTAGGCACCTGTAGTAAGAATGTGGAAGTGATAGTTTAATAATGCTTAATTAAGGGAGCAATATATGGGAAAAATCACTTGCAGTGCGTCATCATATTCTATGAAGTGATGATGATTTTGAAGCGAGAATAATTTAGGGAATTCATCTTGAGCAATTGAGTTTAAAATTTGGTTGACAGGCGGCCTTTCATGTTTTTTGCCCCCATTAGCCATTATACTTCTTCATTTGCACTTCGGATCAAGTACTGGACAACCATCAAATTAAATTGAGATGAGGATGTTGCAGTAGACAACGTGTAAATTGAGATTAGTTTAAGGAATATAGAAGAGGTGGACCTTCATTGAGAATAAAACATATATGCAGTGCGATTTGAGTGGGGATGTTTGTTAGAACTGAGCACTGCATATTTGCATCGGTGAAAATGATCTAACTTTAGATATGACGTGGATATGGCTCACTCACATATTGGATGCATTTTTGAAAGGGGCTGTACCTGGGGAAAACCCACCCTTTATATTCATTTGCTGAACAATCTGAAAATTCTCCATCTCATCTTTTTGTTGATAATATCACAACTGAGGAAGAAGAAAATCAAAAGCTCTAGATTTTTGTCCATTGTCTTATATTTTATGTATCATAACTGGTATCAGTTGTATCAACTCATTTTCTGTTTATTCTTCTTGTTGCCTTTTTCTTTTCTCTTTTAATACAATTTGCTTGCTGAAGTTACATTTTTTTTTTTTGGGGTTATTTATGTGATACAAAGATGTTTATTTACTCATGGATCGTGGAATGCAATGCCACTTTCCTAATGTTGAGAGGAAATCTGAAGTTTTCATATTATTATTTTCAATTACAGGACCCAACCGTGCTTTTGGTGATCTTATTGCTGCTTCTGGAATTACGGATGAAATGATTGACAGTTTGATGGCATTGAAGGACTTTGAAGAGGTTGATGGCTTGCCACCCCTTAGAGAAATAGAAGACATGCGCTATGAAAAGAGTACTAAAAAATCTACTAGAGCTGAAATTGAGCGACAGAAACAGGAGGAAGCTGCAAAAGCAAGAGTGAGAAAAGTAGATGAGAAAGGACGTGCCTATGGAACAGGAAGAAGGAAGTGCAGTGTAGCTCGTGTTTGGGTTCAGCCTGGTGATGGTAAATTTAAAGTTAATGATAAAGAATTTGATGTCTGCTTTCCTATGCTTGAACATCGGGCTACCCTATTACGACCTTTCTCTGAGACGAAGACATTGGGGCTTTGGGATGTCAATTGTACTGTGAAAGGAGGTGGTGTTTCAGGTAAGGTTAATGACTTATAATTACATCTTCTGTCTTTGCATTTAATTCTCAATGATTCTGTTATGATAGTGCCATGTTCTGTTCATTCATTCATAATTCATTTTTGGAAAAGAAAATGAATTATTAGAAAACTGCTGGGCAAGACAACCTCCTATGAGAGATAACGTACTGAAAAGGAAAAAGAAGAAAAATTAGGAAAGAAATAATGAACTTAAGTAAATAACAGTTGAGCACAAATCCCGCCAAAAAGAACACTAAAAGAAAGCAAGAGATAAGATCTTTTCTCCATTAGTCATTGAGTGTAGTGGAAACACTTTAAGAATTCTAGCATTTCTTTCAAACTAAACACACTGAATCACAGCAAAAAATACTTAGTGCCACAAAAGCAAAAAATACATAGTGCCACAAAACTTTGTAATCTTATTTCTACCCCCAAATTATATCAATGAGAAGTTTATCCAGATTTTCTGGACTAACGCAGATCTGGCAACAATATCAAATAACTTATTCCAAAGAGAAGTAGGCGTACTACACTGTAAGAAGTGTCTAATTGTTCCTCATTACTGAGTTGTCCCTACACAGAAATCAAATGTTAGGAGAAGGTGCCCTGTATTGTTTTTGAATCTGCATTCTTTTGAGTACCACTGTCCAAACAAAAGATTTCACTTTGAGGAGAGTTTCTGGTTTCCAACTAAAAGTCTCAAGAATAAATTGATGGCCTATTGGGAGAAGTAGTTAAAGAGGATTTAGAAAAGAGAACATTTGATGAACCTGTAGTTAAACTTTTTAAACTCTGCTGTAAGTATGAACAAAGGCATATGGGCTCTAAAATATGGTTCTAAAGTACTTAATCTAAAAAATAACCACTAGTTCATGAATTTCTCTATTAGAACGAATTCTGGCAAAGTGAATTTTTCAAAGGAAATTTCCCGGGAGAAGACTGAAAACACCAAATTGGAGAGCCGTGCAAAAAGGTATGATGGGACAAATTTGGAAAGTTTGACAAAAGCAGAACATTTTCTCCCCCAAAGAGTCTTTGCAAATAGTTAACAATTCTTAACTGCCATTCTACGATCCTGTCAATAGTGTTAATAGAATATCTGGTTTTCTTTGTAAACTATGGCATATATCTTATTTAAGTATAATGGTAAGCTTCTGTGTTTTAATGACACAAACTTGGTCACACAAATACGTACTTATATTGGTTGACAAGGTTCTTGCAAAGTTCAAATCTTGAAAGGAGATGAGAACTCTGTGACATGATGTGCTTAATTAGCCTTGTGGCATGGACGTAAAACTAATATGATTCATATTTTTAGTAACTAAACTATTATTATTCAGATTTATTTTATTAAAATCACGTTTTCTAGAATAGAATAAATTGTTTAGGCTTGAAGAAAGGCATTTGTTTGGCTTGCTGTAGATTTTTATTTTCAAGTCACTTTTTGAATATGTGAGGTGAGGATGTATTATTTTTGTGAATATATGGCTAGATCAGGAATTTTAAAGCTTGTGATGATGCTGAATATTTATCAAGACTTGCTTAAGGTGTTAATACTGAGTTTTCTGGAAATTTGGATCTGTTGTGAGATAATTATTTATCTATATCTGATTCCCGGATAAGTTTGAGGTTGAGATAGTGATCTCTGTGGAAGAGGGAAAGTATGCTTGAGCATCAATCAGGTGGAGACTTTAGAAAAGAGATAATTTGGAGTGAGAAATCAACAATTAAGTGGGCTAAAGACGTGAATGAGAAGTCTAAATTATTTTACATAGTGGTCGCAGGTAGTTGGAAATTTTGCTAAGAAATTGCAGTCTGAGAATAGGGTTCATATTATGAATGTCCAAGTAATTGCTGAAAATCATTTTTCTTTAGCTGGTGTGTATAAAGGGACTCCTCTAGCAAACATTTCATTTGAGCCTTGGATTGGGGCCTGATTCCTCAAGGCAGCTTAGTTGGAGAAATCTATTGAGGAGGAAGAAATAGGGAAAGTTATTGGCTGGGTGGATGAAGAGATGCTGTGGGCTTTTATGGTTTCTGTTATGGAAAGTAAAGGAATAGGAGAGAGAAAGAGAAAAGAGAAGGGAAAAGAGTAAGAGAATCAGAGGAGAATTAGAGAGGAGAAGAAGACCAAGAGAAACTGAATAATTTCTAATCACATTCCAATATTGAGTTACAAAGGATACTGAGTACTTATTTATAATCAAAAGCGCTAATAGATATAAATCCAAATATATATCCTAATATTATCTGAATATCCTAATCTATCCAAATCCTACTAATATAATTAAATCCTATCTAAGTCCTACTAATATCATTTAAATCCTATTTATCCTATTTATATCATCTTTAAATATTTCCCTATTTATAATTATAATTACATAACAATAACCCCTTCCCCAAAAGACCCTTGCCCTCAAGGGTCAAGTACACAAAAACTCGTCCCAGACCAACACTAAAGAGCATCTTGATTAATTTGCCTTTGAACCAAATTTGAACCAAGAATCTTATAGGAGAAATGTGAAGAGAAACCCAATTAAAACTGATCAATGGTAACAAGAAGTTGTGACTCATTTCATGAAAGAAAAGGCCCATAAACGCAAAACCCAATCTTGGTGAGAGTTGTGTCTTTGACTTTTCCTTCATTAAGGTCATCAAATCCGTCATCAGTATGGATAGTGTTTTTATCATATTTTGAACTGCCAAGTCTTCTGTTTGATCATCAGAATCTTCTTCACTTCCATACTCATACGAAAGATCTTTCTTGATGTTATCATTAAGCTCCAAGGGTTCTTGCACTTCAACAGACACTTCTTGGGCAATGGTCGTTGGTTGTTCGTTGAATCCTAATGACTCTTGTAGTTCGATGGACTCTTTTTCATATGAGATATTTGCTTCTTGAACTTCCAAGCCTCCTTCTTGATTAGTGAAACCTTTTTTTTTCTTTATGAGATGATTGGCACTTGTTCTTCCAAGATAAGAGGATTTCTTGAGTATGGGCAAAAGTCTTAGCGTCATCTAAACTAATAGGCCTAAAGGGCTTCATGATATCTGCTAATTCTTGCTTAAGGCCAGCCATATATATCATAACATGATACCTTTCTGGCAGTTTCATTTTGCTCATGACTCCATCAAAGAAGTCATTGAACTCCTTCACACTACCACGTTGCCTAAGCCACATTTTATTTTCTGCTAAATTTGAGACTGAAGAGGGTTCCAACTGTTTGGAAGGTAAAGGAGAGAGAAAGAGACTGTTATGGAAGGTAAAGGAATAGGAGAGAGAAAGAGAAAAGAGAAGGGAAAAGAGTAAGAGAATCAGAGGAGAATTACAGAAGAGAAGAAGACCAAGAGAAACTGAATAATTCTAATCACATTCCAAAACTGGGTTACAAAGGATACTGAGTACTTATTTATAATCAAAAGCGCTAATAGATATAAATCCAAATATTATCTAAATATTATCTAAATATCCTAATCTATCCAAATCCTACTAATATAATTAGATCCTATCTAAGTCCTACTAATATCATTTAAATCCTATTTTTCGTATTTATATCATCTTTAAATATTTCCCTATTTATAATTATAATTACATAACAGTCTCACTGTTGATGTTTTCCAGAATTGTTAGCATTCTTAAGTCAGATGTAGAGGGATTGCTTGGAGTTCTATCATAACTGTAAAAAATCATGAGTGAGCTGTATGAGATTTTATTTCTTTTTTTTTTTTTTTTTTTTGGGTAACATAGATTTTTTTTTTTTTTTTTTAGGCATATCTGCTTGGTGCTTGATATTTACAAACTTGTTCTATTGACAGATGGGATTGAGGCAGAAGTATCCATTGTTCCTGTCTCTGTTTATTTAAATGGTTGAAATTTTCTAACTCATTTAGTGGTAAGGGGTAGGATTTATCAACAATGGACTTTTTTCTTTTTTCTTTTTTTTGACCTGAGGGACTTTTTTCTATTATTGGAAGATTCCGAGTAATTAAAAATGAAAGGTTCCTGATGCATATGTCATTCTTCCTGTTGGTTCTCTATATTTCTTCTGATTGAATTATAACTACATTTTTGAGGTTTTGAAAAATTACAAATGATTCTTCAAACGAAGATGATTAACAGACTTTTCTATTGTTTCTTGATAACAAATCACTACCTTTTCTAAGTTAGCAACGGTTAGTTTAGACATTAATACTAAGATTAATACGAATGGTGTTGTGTGCTCATAGGTCCATAAAAGCCCTTTGACCTGATAGTTATATCGCATCTCATTCTAGGTAGTGCTAAAATAGCTGCTCATCTTTTATAACAATGTCCTGCAGCTATTTATTTATGGAACCAACTGTTTGGAAGTTTTGGTCTTTTGGAGGAGACATTATGTATTAAAAAAAAAAGGTGACCGAGCACTTGCTGCAACTGGCAAGAGGGTTGAACTAGCTTAACTGAAGGTTTCAAGCTTGAGCCTGGGAATACTGCCATGTTAAATATTTGGTTGTAGCGCTTGCCACTCGAAAAGGTCCTACCCAATTTAATCAGTGTTATTTTGGGCCCTGATAAATCCTCCAATTGAAGAGGAGCCCTGGGTATTGGGTGCGAGTTGGAAAGGAAAAAAAGAAAAAAAACACCTTGTCTCTTCAATAGCACAAGCTAGCGCACACTTTTTCAGACGTGCTGACATTGGCCTTCACACAATCTTCTATGATCATACCTTGAAATTGTGCATGCTATATTCTCACCACTGTAAAAATCTGACGAGCATCGATCATGATATATTGTCATCTTTAATCTACTTTGGTCCTTTACCAAGCTACCTGCCTGAAATTTTAAATTTGACATTAAGATAAAATGCTTGAAAGTAGCAATAACAAACTAGAGGATGGACGTATTCTAACAGGAGTTGGAATGTCTATTGGGTTTTCAAAGCATTTAATCATCTGGTAGTTTATATCCTTTTCGTTTGTACGTAAAAAATGTGTTGTGATAACAGGTCAAGTTGGAGCAATACGGTTGGGGATCAGTAGGGCTTTGCAAAGCTGGGAACCAGACTTGCGTCCCGCACTTAGAAGTGGTATAATAACTAAGCCTTCTATCAGTTGCTTTATCATACTATGTTTGAGTCAACACGTCTTGTGCAAAAGATAAAGGATATATTTCTCTCGCTTCCTCTTAGAGATGGTTAAATTACTTTACCATTGCCAGTATTATATATAAAAAAATTAATTCTCCCTTCTATTATGAGCTCTCACTCAAAACCAATGAATAGACCAACAATTAAATCGATTACCAAAATACTTTCAATACAATTATTAATTATCTTACTAAAAGCATTGAAAATGTGTTTCTCAAAACTTTATTTAGTATCATTTATTTTTTGTATTTTTAAATTTTAAACGAACTTCTTTATGTTCATTAGATCTATATTCAGGATGGATATTATTGTTGAAATCAAATGTAGTACATTTCATTAGCTATTTACTTAAAAGGTAGTCTTTCTCTCTATAATTTTTTGAGGGGATTTGGAAGAGAACATGGACTTCAGGAGTTCTTAGTTTGTTCCCCCCTTTCTCAATACAATTAACTGAGATTCGGTATTGTATTTTTCTCCATGAATCAATCCTAACTCTACTTTGCCCCGATGATGATGTACTAATGTTTATTTTTTAGCAGCTGGTTTCTTGACTCGGGATCCTCGTGTGGTAGAAAGGAAAAAGCCCGGAAAGGCCAAAGCAAGAAAAAGTTTCCAATGGGTCAAGCGTTGAATACTTGGAGGCTTGGAGCTTCTGTTCATGTACCATGAATCTTGTATGGAACATCTTGCTTCTTTTAATAAACTGCCAAAATTCAATCATCCTGTTCACCTGGGATAGAAAGAGACACTAGGGTTTATTTAGTTTTGGAATGAACATCTGATCTTATACTATGCTATATTATGAAATTTTGGTTCGGTGCTGCATGAAGTACTTGTTTTGTCTGTGTATTTATTTATTCTTTTGGCAACCTGTGATTCAGTTATGGACAGTTGAAATTGTGTTTGCTTGCCCTCACCAAACTAATGAAGATTTCAAATGTGATACTGTTCTTGCATTTGGTGTGTCCTTCGGCCTATAATACGGTCATCTTCAGAAAACGTTAAATTCATCCAAGTGAAAATGTGGGTAATTGGCTCGTTTGGTTCAATTCATGGGAAGCTCATTCCATGTAATCCAGATTTTTTTGGCCGTTTGGTTTGCACTTTCTACTATAAATGGTCATTCCCTTGGCATACGTATGATATACTAGGATGGGACTGGGATGAGTCACCCTCATCTTGAGTCCCATTCCAATATGAACAATTCTAGGACGGGACATCTTAAACACCCATGCCAACAACAATGATGGAGGAAGAAGGGTGATCAAGTAGAGCAGGGGCAAGACAAGGGCAAGGACAAAGAAGCGGCTAAAGTTGTAAATGGATATAATTGTAATAATATTAGAAAAATAATATGGGTATTTTAGTCAGGACATCTCAAATTATTTTTTTCTCCTCCAAAAATCCTAATTTTGTAGGGGGAGAGGAGGAGGAGAAAAAAGACAATTTTTCCTTGCATCTCCTCTCCTTCTAACTAAGCACGCCTTTCCCCTCCCTTCCCCCCAAAAAATCCAATGCTAGTGAAATCAACAATTATTCATGGTTATTCATGGTTGATACACATGGGAGTTTGCTTATGAAGGAGAGGAATGGCTATGAACTCGTAAAGATGGAAGAATTCCAATGCTATAAAGAAATCAACAATTATTGTAAGAGGCCATCCATGGGATGGGATACAAAGAAAAGCTAGTGAAATAACAACACTAAATGACCGGGAAAAGCTAGCAAAACGATTTGTAGGCAAAATTATCATTTAATATAAGATTAATTCGTAAAATATTGATGTAGACACTGGTAAAGCCTTTCAAGAGTTAATCTTATGCTTTTGTGGGCTTTAATAGGTTTATAACAAGTGTTAACACTTAACATGTAGATTTGAGTGTAAATTTAGGGAGTTTTAGTGGCTAAATTGCTGTATTTTTATTAATATTTCTTACTCCTAAATATTTCTTATTTTTGAACATACGATCCTACTTATTTTAGTTGTTGTTGTAGGTCATGTGGCACAACACTTCTCAATTGGTCAAGGAATTAAAGAAAATGGACAAAGTTGGAATTTGAGAGGAGGCATATTTTTTGTAGCTAGAATTTGTTGTTTTTTTTTTTTTGGTTGAGCTGTCCTCTCCATACAGACCGCCAAGAATCAAACCATTAACCAGATGCTTAAGAAATCTAGTTAAGTGCTAACTGTGTCAGATCCTGTGATTTGTAGTGAAAATTTTATATTTGCATTGCATTCCATGCAGCACCTATTTTAATTCCCACCTTAAAATTGCTTATGCCAGTCCCAAACACTTGCATTAACATTGTGACTATCGCTGAAACTCCCTAATCAGATTCATACGCACGCCTCAACGTCATCTTCTTCACCTCTCTCACTCTCGTGTTGATCATCATCTTTACCAATTCCTCCATCCAGTCTCAATTCTAATCCGATCCTTTACCTCCTCTCGTCCATTCGTCCATCGTATCTCAATTTCCATCTCCTCTGGAGCTGTCACGTGGATGTTCTCATTTCACCCTTTCCTTTGGTCCTTCATGGAGGAGGTGTTCGAGGGTGCTATGGAGTCCATTAAATTTCTTCAGCTCTTGGGATGATGTGGCGAGATCGAGCATTGAGCTTCATGGAGGAGTGGGCGATTCTACTCGTTCTCCTCTTTTTATATTGTGATTATGAGATTTCTGATTAGAATTTTGTAATGTAATTGTGATTTATAGGGAGTTGTGTTAGTAAGTACATTCGAGTTTTTTTTTCCCGGACCTTGATAAGTACATTCGAGTTTACAAATGTTGTAGACTTGATTAATTGTGATATATAAATATATATATTGCTGGAATTTATGCTGAATTTGCATTTCACTCTCGATCACTTGTGGACTGTAATGTAATTGACTGCAAGGTGTTTGTTCAATTGTCATTATGGCCTTTTTTTTTCCAACTAAGATACTATAAATAGTAAAAATAAAACACTAAAACCCCACAATGTAAAAGATTTTTAATAAAATGCTATATTTAAAAATAGTCCAAACAAGTTACACTCTTGCCAACTACATCAAATGTGACATTTACTTTTCTTAAATTAAAGGCAAAATTGTTCACATCTCAAACAATTTTAGCACCTGTTTGGATCTTTGTTTAAAGGTCTAAACATGCCTAAGAATTTGTGGAACGAAGGTTAACTTATTTGGAATTTGTGAACTGTTTGGGTGGACTTTTTAGGAAACCAACTTTTGAAAGAAAAGCTAGATAAAATCACTAGGAAAACCCAACAACTTAATATTTAATTGATAAAATTTAATCATGAGAGTATACTACGAACCCAATTGATATATCTTACTAATTTTGAATTGGGCATTAAAAATCTGAAAAAAAAAATTAAAATAATATTCAATAGCTATATGTAAAAATTAAATTAAATATATCTAATTAACTGTTTTTTAGTATTTATAATTCTTTTTATAATACATTAACTCTTTATTTGTATATTTTAATTTTAATATTTTTTAAATGTATCAAATTTTATGCATTATATATTTAAACTAAAACTCATGTTCTTTTTAGTTATTTTACATCTAAACATGCTTTTTCATTGTTTATCCAAACAAGTTTTAACTTGTCAAATGGATTTTTTATTTATAAAAGTCAATCTAAACATAAATTATATTATATTAACTGACTTTTACTCTAACTTACGTTTTGCAAAAATCAAATGAAATAAAAGCTACTTCTATCACTGCTAAGCAAACACACCTTTAATCTTGTCATATTCTCACATTAAATGATACCATGGCAAACGAAAAACATCAAATGATTTTCAAGGTTCTGGTATCATTTGCTGTGAGAATCTAACAAGATCAAAATCATTTCAGAGTCAAGCAATGTTGCTTTTGATTGAAGAAAGATAAATTTCACATCTGATATAGTTGACAAGAGTGTAACTCACTCTTAGGGTGAATAAATTTTGTAAAAATTTAAACCTATTTAGGCTGTGAACAATTTTAAATGCAACATTTTGATAAATACTATATAGCATTTTAGTATGCTTTTCTACTGTTTATAGTATCTTGATGAAAAGGCCATCAATATCATTTTTAGATGATTAAACAAGTAGACAGTGGCTGTTTAGTTGTAGCTCGAGTTAAAAAAATTGCCACAATGGACACAAACCACAAATTAGGTAATCCTTATTCATTTGATTTAGTTGCTTAATCAGGTTGATGGAGTAAGGTAAAGACTGAATTAGCTAAAGAATGAACAAATGAAAATAAGAACGGGAAGGATAATTTCTTCTATTAATAAGTAAGGTAAGGATCTTACCAACACTTAGAAATAGACCAAGCAAAATCTCCACACAAGATAATACGCTATGAAAATATTCAATGCTTTACTACTTAGGCGAGGTGCCTATTTATAGCTTTTACAGAGAGAAATACATGCAAAATAGTTCAATAGAAAATCAATGAAATTCAAATGAATAAATTAAACTATCCCTAGGTTGTAGTGGGTATACCACTTATTCCTTAGCTTAACTAACACAGCTAATAGGAAAAATAGGGATAATAAAATAAAACAAATGAAACAGCAATAAAATAGCAACCATTGCAATAGATTAGCCCTTAATCTTCTTTGCCCCGCTTCTTTCGCCTAGAATAAGTCAACTTGAATGTACCAGGGGTCTTATCATTACTCCCCGCCTGAAAAGACGACTTGTCCTCAAGTCAGAAATTGGGGAATTGTGTTGCCAATAAATCATAGTCTTCCCAGGTGGCATCTTCTATTGATCATTCAGCCCATTGAATCAGCAATTCTGGTTTGTTGTTTGTTAACCAGCAGTGTTTCATCACCTTTAATGGAGCCAATATCAACTCTATTTCGAAAGATAAAGGTAAAGGAGCCGGAGTAAGGCGCAAGTGTCGGTCTTGACACACAACAGCTGGTCTTAGAAGGGATACATGGAATATAGGGTGAACTTCAGCCGTTGAAGGGACTTCCAGATCATAAGCTATAGGCCCAATGTGATGTCATACCACATCACTAGGGCGTTGAAGGAACTTTGGCCATTGTAACCTTAACCATACGGCATCACTAGGGGTAAACTAAACGTCGTGTAAGTGGCGATCAGCTTGAACTTTCATTTGGTTCTTCGCTTTTAGTAAATTGTCATGCAGAACTTTGAACATGTCATCCCTTAATTCCAGTTGCTCTTCTAATTCTGCAGCTACCGTCTCTCCTTTTACATAAGGAATAAGATGAGGTGGATCCATTCCATACACCAGTTTGAATGGGGTGTTTTTAGTTGCTACATGATAACTGGTGTTCAACGAGTATTCAGCCTAGCACAAGTATTTATTCCACCTTTTGAGTTGTTACTGTGCAAAGCAACGCAAATAAGTTGCTAGATAGCGGTTAACAACATCACTTTGACCATCTAACTGAGAATGATGTGCTGTGCTCATATTCAGGCAAATTTGACTTAAGTGGAATAATTCTCTTCAGAAGCTACTTAAGAAAACAGAATCTCAATCAAAAACTATAAAGCGAGGCATACTGTGAAGGAGGACTATGTCTTTGCAGAACAATTGAGTCATGGACTTGGCAGTATAAGGAAGAGACATAGCCATGAAGTGAGCATATTTGCTCAACCTGACAACCACGACTAATATCATGTCACAACCCCTAGATTTTGGAAGTCTAGTGATGAAATCAAGAGATGTATCCTCCCAAATTTGCTCCAGAATAGGAAGAGGTTGGAGAAGCCCTGCAAGAGCTGAGTTTTGGTACTTGTTTTGTTGGCAAACCATATATCTTTGGTTATAATGCTTAACATTGTGTTTCATTCCCTGCCAGAACAGATGTGCTCCTAACCTTTTCGATGTTTTCAAGTAGCTACCAT